AACCTGATCTGAGAGTGTTACATGCTAAATTCCAACAGCTGTCCTCCCTCAGGAGGAAGATCTGGAAGGTCCCAAGGATTTTCATACTGTAACTCAACTACTTATAGATCCTTTCAGGGCAGTGGTTATGTTAGCTGGAAATTTCTGGCATGTGAAGTTGAATTATAGAGACATGTCAGTACCTAAATAGATGCATTATCATCACAATGGACTAATCTGCTTTGAACACTGAAAGGTCAACAATTTAAGCAGTTAACTTGGAAGCTCACTGATTAAAAACTCATTTCCAAACTTGGTGAAAACAGGTGGCCAAAGCAACACCAAAATCAAGAACAGACTCTTTGGTTTGCAGTGTTGAATCCACTTGCACAGCCAAATAGATATGTATGGTAGCCCTAAAGCTTTCAGATCATTTGGAAACCATTACCAAAAGTTACTGCAGTCGGAATGGGAGACTATGGCACAAGAAGGATGCAAGCACAACTAAATCTTTATATTAGCTCTTGGGAATCACAGGGTTTCCTGTGAAAGTTGTCTATTACTTGAAATTTGACTAATCTGTTATTAAAGAACCTACAACTTTGTTGAATGTACTGTTATTTTCATTGCTGGCTCAAATTTCTCACTGAGTGACTTAGGAGTTATACCTGAGCTACTCAAATGTATGAATCTGTCAGATGCATCTACAATACCTGAGGGCAAATCCTGGCTGTGGAGTGGTAAATGGCTTACCAACAACATAACATCATAAATTTCCATTTATAGGAAGCAAAAGCTTGGTACTGAAGCTACATTTTTCAGTTAGCAAGAATGAGAGATGGCATCAATAGAAACGTAACATATATTCCGTTTTTTCCATCAACCAGGTGGCGAACCTGAATATAAACCCAATTTGATAATAAAAATTATCCACTGATGTCTATGAAAACTGGGATGCCATTGCCTGCATTGAAGTGTGTAATTTCTCCCTAAATGAGGATAGCCTATTTATTTACACAAGCAAAGAGAACAAGTTGTCAAAAATAGGGTTTAGAGGTCCTAAGGATTAGGATTATTGATGGAATTTAATACACTATACCAGGTAATTTACCAGCTTTGAGTGTTGTGGTAACTGTCCTCTGCTTCAGCAAAAATCATCCCACCCATTAAATTCTTATTTGGTGGCAATGATACCCAAGCTGAATGGTACTTCTCTAGATATCAATGACAGTGGCCAATCATGACCAACCATCTGGACTATGGCACACTATGCATTGGATTACTGAACCTACCACACAGTAAAGTGATTTCAATATTCCATTTCACTAAAGATTCACACTGATGTAAAATCAAACCGCACTCCAGGACTCAGGCACATAACTTACAGACTGGTAATTCTGCATCATCAGAAATGTCTTTTAGATGATATACCAAAATGTTCCAGTGATGCAGCTATAAAAAATTGCAGCTAAAAAAAATAACAGTCCCCATTAACAACTATTCACCCTCCCAGCCTGATCGTTAGCAACTCCTTTGTCTGTCCAACTGTCTTTCTCTCTCTTTGGGCTCTAGCCTATCGTTTACTCCCCACCCCACCCACCTGCCTATTTTCTGCATATAAACTGACGTTTTCCCAGCCACCATCAGTTCTGAGGAAGGGTCACCGGACCCGAAACGTTAACTCTGTTTTCTCCTCCACAGATGCTGCCAGACCTACTGATCTTTTCCAGCAACTTTGTTTTTGTTTCTGATTTACAGCATCCGCAGTTCTTTTGGTTTTTAAAAAACAAATTGCACTATCTGAACTATGTGGACAGTGGAAACACGTGTGTGTTGCCACCATACTTCAGATGATGTATCCCACAAACGTTGTTATCGCATTTCACATTCTTGAATTAGATATTCCACAAGTTCAAAGCACAAGTTTTTTGACAGAAAAACAATGGATCAAAATTTCACCCTATCCACAAACTGACTTGGGCAAAGTGCCATCAGATAAATGACGAATCTCTTCTTTTTTGAGAAAGGCACTAGAAACATTGCACTGTGAATGATGTGCTTCTAGCCTCTGAACAGGTGGAAAACATTCTCCCAAGAAACTAAACAGTGCTGGCTAAAAAGTACAAATCAGATTTATTCAAGAATAAAGTTATTTAGAATCTGCAGAAATAGGGGTAAGCCAAATTGTAACATATGACAACTTTACACCTCCTGTTATAAAATAATATATTACTTTTTTTCAGTAACAATGGTCAAGTAAAGAAAGGCTTTAAAGGTCACTTAATTAATTAGATACTTCCTCCAAACGACAGGGAATGGAATTTCACCTCAATTTGATACAATTATATGGATAGTGACCATATTTTAAAAAGATGATGGCAGTTATACATTTACAGAATTATGGTTAGACTTCAGCATTTATTTCAGTCTTAAACCAGGGAAAGGCATTCAGAAAGTTTGTGGCTCATCTAGATCATTGAGAATTAGCCCGAGAGTAATTCAGGCAGTATGTTAATGCAGTCACTGCAGTGAGAATGAAAAATATTGATTTATAACTGAGAGGTAAACTGAGGAACAGTGAAAAGGGTTACAGAGATAGTAGGAACTGCCGATGCTCGAGAATCTGAGATAACAAGGTGTAGAGCTGGATGAACACAGCAGGCCAAGCAGCATCAGAGGAGCAGGAAAGCTGGTTGTCTTTAAAGGTAGAGATAGTAGGAACTGCAGATGCTGGAGAATCTGAGATAACAAGGCGTAGAGTTGGATGAACACAGCAGGCCAAGCAGCATCAGAGGGGCAGGAAGGCTGACGTTTCGGGCCTAGACCCTTCTTCAGAAAGGCCC